TTGAAGGTAAGACGTTAGATGTTCCGCAAGTATCTCGTGTAGGCGATGCCCTCCAGCTCGTAAGAGGTCGACCGAAACCTGGTCGGACCCCGGAGCAGTGGCTACCTTCATGGTCTGAATTGCCGCGTGTACTTCGGTAGGTAGAATCCGTGGTGGTAGTTACCCAATGGGGATGACGGGGTTTGATACGGGTTTTTATGAGCGGAAGACATCGGTGTAGATCTTTTTGTGATCGATTCCATCTTCTGTAGGAGAGAGGTGCGATATCCGTCTTATTCAATAATGTTGTCAGCGAAAAGTGGTCGAGAAGGTTCCGGCTTCCTTGTGCTGCCTCCAAGGATTTCGATTGCTTGTAATTTCGAAGATCTTCTTGCAAAGCTGTTCTGCAGCTAGTATTGACAATCAGTCGCAGGAGATGTGATGTGGCCAGATCCGCCTCAGTGCTTTTTTTCAAGCAAATCCTTGGTGGCTTCGAAATTCGTTCTAAATTCCTTGTTCGAGGCACTGAGGCATTTTCACCACAGGCCCTCAGTCCTCTGGGAAGGAGGTCGTTTCTCTCGTTGGGTTCTCATCGATGGGCCACTCACAGGTGGTCAGGAGTTCCTCCAATCTGATGGCGCCATATACGATCTCTCTTTCCTCCAACACGCTGACAGATCTTCTTTTCACCTTTCGACTAAATCGCACTTTTGCTCGAAGGAGATGCTTATCTGAACCACTGCTGAAGGATGGCACCACTGACGTCCTTCAGTTGGCAAGAATGTGGTCATTCTCCGCATGAGTCCTACTATTACGTGACTCCCATGTCCACGCCGCCAATGTTCTTTCTTCATGAAGATGAGTTGCCATGAAAGAGTTGGGCAGCGCATAAGAGCCCAACAAGACGGCTGCCGTTCTCATTCCGGAGTCCTGATCCAAATCTCCCGATCCTATCCCTTCTTCTAACACCCCGATTTTGCATTGAAGTCATTCACGACGCAATGAAAAGTTTTTTGCGGGTGACTTCCTCCAAATCCTCATAAGCATAAAGTTCTGAGTAATCAGCTACTGATGTTGGAGAATAGTAGTCAATGCTAGTGATGGTTTTCTGATGCGGACGGAGTCGAAGGATAGCCAGGAGAGGTCATAGGGTTTTATGCGAATCAGATAACAGATGGGCGTACAACAAATCCAACACTCCAACGTTCCGTGATAGGATTTTTTTTACCACGAATGATGGGTGTAGCATCGCTCAGCTGCCTCACAATCGTCTTCTAAACGTTTCGTTTCCTGCAAGACGATTTCATGGTAGTTGATGTGCCCTGCAGCTTCGAGAAGGGAGTGAAGATCGGAGTTGTTGAAGAATGTTCTGGTGCTGAAGGTGCAGAGATGGCATGTAGGGTGTCAGAAATAACTCGTAACCAATCTTTAACGGTAATAGAGAATATATTTCTCTAATACGACTAAGAGCGATTCGCAATTTTGGCCACCTTTAGAAAGCGAACCTCAGCAAGTGTCAAAAATGCTGTTTTGGTCAATCTGACATTCCATTTCTCAGCCCAAGAAGCAGAAATAAATCAAAAGTCTTAAACAGTCGAGTCGACGAAGTTTTGCAGAACATGATAAAACCTTGTGAATACAGCATTTAGTGCTATTTTTAAAGAAGTGGATGAGATTAAGGGTCAGAAAAATTATGGAAAACTTTGTAACAACCTCATATTTGGTTGCAATAACAATAAATGTATTATTTACAGAAGCTACTAAAGATGAAGATTCAAAGTTGAGCATAGCAGATGATGAACCACTTCTAATAGAACAACAGTTTGCTATAGGTACACTGTTGCAATGGCCATTCAACTTACCTTATTTTATTTCAGAGAGAGCAGAAGCTCTAAATTGCCCTTTTCAGATTGTGACAATCAACGATTTGAAATTAGAACAAAAGCAGATATTGCAGAAGCTGGAAGCAGATGTTCAAAATCAAAATCTGTCTATCTTATCAATCCTGATGAGTTCCCCTCGCAGGGCATGACTCCACGGCAATTCTACAGCTTCATCAATGTACCTAATGTACATGCATGCATACATATTCAATTTTCAACCATAAAAACCTTACTTTTCACGGCGTTGCGGAATCTTACTGGCTCATGTCATGGTAAGTTTCTCCTAATAAACGAAAATTGGTCTAGTAGAGTCATTTGGCCGGACCTCTGATTGATCAATCAGTACTTTCATCATTATCGCTCATTTTGACACAATACTCAACAACTTCTAACGCAGCATCCCTAAAAATAACACACCAGTCTGCGCCCTAGAGTCCTCTTTGATAGCTTGTTTTCTCACTTTCCATTCTGCTCATCTGCACCCACTTTTTGAAAATTATACTGGGCGGCAAGCAGCTTGTTTTCTGCCGCGCCCAATTGCTCACCATAACAATGGGACTCTTTTTCAGGGGAGCATACTTGGTTGAAGTATCGATGTAATATATGAGCACAGTCAAATGTAACTTGAAACGCTTATTCTAAATTTACCTTCCATATTTGCTAAGCATTTGAAGTTACATACGTTTTCTTTAAAAAAATAGCTTAGAAGATTTGGAAAAATGCTCGAAAGTTCAATTTGACCGCAAACAGCTGCGCAAATGCTGATCAGAGGGAAATATAATAAAATAACCCTTAGCTTATTCTTCCAAGGTTTGACATTGTAGAGCAATTACTGACGAGGAACATCGACTAGTGGCAGAAGTGTGACTCTTCAATCATATGCACCGCTTCCTGAGTCGCTAATCCGACCGGGTATTCTTCCCTTGGCAGGACCAACATACTTGTAATGCTCTTGACCTCCCTTCATCCACTTTTTGAAAAGCTTCTTACTTAGAAACTTGCCTGAGTGGTTTGTGGTCCCTATAAAGACACCGCACCAGACCCACAACGCAAAAGTGGTTTGTTTGCATTAACTTATGCATATACATGAAAAAAGAATTTTGCAACTTTTGAAAAAGTGGGCGGGGTCCATCCTTATGGAGCAAACGCGGTTAAATAGGCTGCTTTAGCAGACTACGCCCATGTAACTGCTCGAAACAACCTCTAAATTCAAGCCTCTTACACCGCATAGGCAAAGATGACTACCAACCATCCCATCTTCTCCAACAATTCCATTTCTGTGTACATTGAATTTTAACCTAGATTCCTTCCACCTGGTCACTCAGTTCCACCACCCTAATTTTGAAAAGGAGTAACCCGAGAAAAGGACCCACTGATTGTAAATAGTCTCCCCTAGCATGTAATCAATCAGCTAGCGCAAAGACTTTTAAACTTGGATCTTCGTCGTTATCCATCTGTGGGATAGCAAGGCTGGCTGAGAACTACAGTTTTGGGTGATTTAAAACTATAGTTAAGACCAAATTTTTGTGTTCGAATAAAATATCCGAACATTTCGAGTAATGCGAACCTTCGATATTCGAATGATTGTAGAAGCGCATTTATTCGATCTTACAATTAGTCGAATATTCGAAAAAATGCATTTATTCGATTATTCAAATAGTCGAATTTCTGAAAAACCGACATACGATTCGAATTCGGATGGTTTTTGAACTGAGTTGAAAAATATGATCATTCGAATGTCAATGCAAAATCATCGAATATTTATTCGATGAAACATCTGCGAAATCAGCGAATATGATTGAGA